TAAGGTTATCAATATTTTCAAAGAACATCTCTTTAGCATGCTTAATCATGTTATTAACTTTGTTTCTTACTTTCTTGTATTTTAAAACATTATGGTCATTATTTAGTTTTTTCAATGCCCTTCTTAATCTGTTTCTTATACATATTTGCTTTCTAATATTATTGTTAAACCCCGGTTTGTCATGTTTACGTATTTGGACCATCTTTTGAAGGTATACAAGTATCTATAGCAGTCATAATGCTTGTGGTTAAAAAGTCACCATTTACATCTGTACATGAATCAAAATGTTCTTGCCATGATATATTCCTAATACTCGTGTTTAGCTTTACAATATCGGCTTGGTTGTATATCCACACATTGCGTTTAAAAGATTTTTCTATATTTCTTGCTACATCGATAACTGCTTTGTGGCCGGTATGGTCACTTATAGAGTTGTCAATATCAATTACTTCAGAATTACTCCTTAGGTATAGAGCAGTATGTTCAGAATATGCGTAAGAGATATGGAATGATATCTTCAGATTACCCAAAATCACATCATCAATTGGGACACTGCCAAAATGGTTGAAAGAGAACCACATACAGGAACAAGACAAATCAAAGAAACTATCAAAATCAGAAACCAACCCTATCTATTGCATCCAAATGGAATATGATACTTTTAGGTATAAAAAAGAATAATTTGTGTTAATTGTTTTGTCAGTCTGCTATAAAGAATGTAGTTTGGTTGGTTATCGTAAAAATATCAGCACACTTGGGCATCTGTGTTCCCGGAACCCACTATACAGGATAGATTTGGCAAGCCTTGAAAATCTTACCCTCTTTAGATAAATGCTGAACCTTCTCTAGTTACTCTACAGTATAGATGTTTCTGGAAGTGTTTAACTCATTCACCCCTGAAGACACATTTGAACTCTTCCAGTTCAAAGGTTGGAACAGAGACATGTAAAGCCAGAGATTGGCAACTCGCCCAGATCTCGCTAACGCACGCTTGAGCCTATTGTTCCTCGTAGATCCGTTGAGACTTGGGCTGCAGTCGCCCATATAAGTGGTATCGGCTTTCGTTTATGTACAAACTCCGTTTTTTCTAGACGGTCAATTTTAAAAATGTTCGGTGATTTATGTTCTACAATATTTTTCGCTCACCTGGCCCAAAGCAGGTGAGCTTATGCAATGGTGCAGCGTCCGGCGTCTGGCGTCAATATTTTACTTTAAACAACTTCTTCTTAATAACCAAAAGGCCTAGGCTGATGATATTTGGCCAGAAGTAAACTAGGATGCAGGGCTACCAAATTTGTTCAAATAAATGACCTTCACCTATTTTCAAGGTCACAGGGGTCAATTGTCTTAAAAAATCATTATACAACTTCTTCTCAATAACTAAGAGGACTAGGCTAACGATATTTGGCCAGTAACATGCTAGAATGAAGGGCTACCAAGTTTGTTCAAATGAATTACCTTCGTCCATTTTCAAGGTCACAGGGGTCAATTGTCTTAAAAAATCATTATACAACTTCTTCTGAATAACTAAGAGGACTAGGCTAACGATATTTGGCCAGTAACATGCTAGAATGAAGGGCTACCAAGTTTGTTCAAATGAATGACCTTGACTTGTATTCAAGGTCACAGGGGTCAAATATGTTAGAAACCTTTAAACAACTTCTTCTGAATAACTAAGAGGCCTAGGGTTAAGGTATTAGGCCAGTAGCATGCTTGGATGAAGGGCTACCTTGTTTGTTCAAATGAATGACCTTGACTTATATTCAAGGTCACAGGGGTCAAATGTGTTAAAAACCTTTAAACAACTTCTTCTGAATAACTAAGAGGCCTAGGCTAACGATATTTGGCCAGTAACATGCTAGAATGAAGGGCTACCAAGTTTGTTCAAATAAATGACCTTCGTCTATTTTCAAGGTCACAGGGGTCAATTATGTTAAAAACCTTTAAACAACTTCTTCTGAATAACTGAGAAGCCTAGGATAATGATATTAGGCCAGTAGCATGCTGGGATAAAGGGCTATCAAGTTTGTTCAAATGAATGACCTTAACATATATTCAAGGTCACAGGGGTCAAATATGTTTAAAACCTTTAAACGACTTCTTCTAAATTAGCCAAAGGCCAAGGGTGATGATATTTGGTCATTTACAGGCTGGGATGAAGGGCTACCTATTTTGTCAAAATAAATGACCTTCGCCCATATTCAAGGTCACAGTGGTCAATATATATGTTTAAATCTTTAAATGACTTGTTCTGTATAACCAATAGGTCAAGGGTTGTGATATTTTGCCAAAAGCATGCTGGGTTGGAAGACTTTAAACTCTGTTCAACCTAATGTCCTTGTTCGACATTCAAGGTCACAGGCTGTATTTTAGTCCACTTTTAAGATTACAAGTGTAAGATTAATACCAGGTGAGCGATTCAGGCCCATTGGGCCTCTTGTTTGTGTTGAGATTGTTTGATTCAGCTTCGTGAAATAACTACAACATTGCTAAATTCATTTGAGAATTTACTGTGATTTTAGAATTATGAGAAGTCATCAGTGGCAGCCATTACATTATAATACAGATAAAAAATAGGCAAGGTTTTTGTTTAACTCCTTTTTTTCTAGACGGTCAATTTTTTGCTCACCTGACCCACTTTCAAGGTCACAGGGGTCAAATGTCTTAAAATCTTCAAACAACTTCTTCTCAATAACCAAAAGCCTCAGGGGCACTGATATTGGGCCTGTAGCATGCTGGGAGGAGGACTGCCAAGTTTGTCCAAATTAATGACCTTGACCCACTTTCAAGGTCACAGGGGTCAAATGGCTTTACATCTTCAAACAACTTCTTCCCAATAACCAAAAGACCCAGGGTAATGATATTGGGCATTTAGCATGCTGGGATGAAGGGCTACCTAGTTTGTTCAAATGAATGACCTTGACCCACTTTCAAGGTCACAGGGGTCAAATGTCTTAAAATCTTCAAAAGACTTCTCAATAACCAAAAGGCCCAGGGTACTGATATTAGGCCTGTATTATACTGGGATGAAGGGCTACCAAGTTTGTTCAAATGAATGACCTTGAACCACTTTCAAGGTCACAGGGATCAAATGTCTTAAAATCTTCAAACAACTTCTTCTGAATAACCAAAAGCCTCAGGGTACTGATATTGGGCCTGTAGCATGCTGGGATGAGGACTGCCAAGTTTGTCCAAATTAATGACCTTGACCCACTTTCAAGGTCACAGGGGTCAAATGGCTTTACATCTTCAAACAACTTCTTCTCAATAACCAAAAGGCCCTGGGTACTGATATTGGGCATTTAGCATGTTTGGATGAAGGGCTACCAAGTTTGTTCAAACCTTGACCCATTTTCAAGGTCACATGGGTCAAATGTAGTAAAATCTTCAAACAACTTCTTCTCAATGACCAAAAGGCCCCTGGTATTGATATTGGGCCTTTAGCATGCTGGGTTGAAGTGCTACCAAGTTTGTTCAAATGAATGACCTTGACCCATTTTCAAGGTCACAGTTGTCAAATATGTTTTAAAGCTTTAAACAATTTCTTCTGAATAACCAAGAGGCCTAGGATAATGCCAGTAACATGCTGGGATGAAGGACTACCAAGTTTGTTCAAATGAATGACCTTGACATATATTCAAGGTCACAGGGGTCAAATATGTTAAAAACCTTAAAATGACTTCTGAATAAGCAAATGGGTTCGAAGACTATAAACTCTGTTCAACCTTATGTCCTTGTTCGACATTCAAGGTCACAGGCGTCATATGTTTAAATCTTTTAATAGGTTCTTATGAATCAAATACTGATATTCTGCCTGTAGCTGTATTTTAGTCCACTTTTAAGATAACAAGTGTGAGATTAATACCAGGTAAGCGATGCAGGCCCATGGGCCTCTTGTTAAAATGTTCGGTGATTTATATTCTACAATTTATTTTATGTTGCCCTTCTTAGATTCAGCTTCGTGAAATAACTACAACATTGCTAAATTCATCTTAGAATATACCGTGATTTCAGAATGAAATGGCAGCCATTACATTATAATACAGAGAAAAAAAGGCAAGGTTTTCGTTTAAACTCCGTTTTTTCTAGATCGTCAATTTCAAATCGGTTCAGTTATTTAAATTCTGCAATATTTTATTAGCTCACATGCCCAAAGGTCCATATTTGGTGTGGAGCATCCTTGGTTAAAGGGGAACCAATTTTGTATAAACGATGGGTGTGGCCCCCCTGGGACCTGAGGGGCGGGGCCCGATAGGGGAAATAGTCTGGAGCATCCTTGGACAAAAGGGACTCAATTTCGTATAAACAGCGAGTGTGGCCCCCCTGGGGACAGAAGGGAGGGGCCCAATAGGGGAAACATAGCAAATTCTTCAAATACCTTCTTCTTCAGTACGAATGACAGGATTTTGTCCAAATTTGGTATGAAGCATCATTGGGTGAAGGGGAACCAATTTTGTATAAACGGTGTGTCTAACCCCCCTGGAGGCAGAGAATAGGGGAAATAGAGGTAAAACTTTTAAAATCCTTCTTTTACCATAGGGATTTAGGGATTTTATCCTAACTTAGTCTGGAGCATCCTTGGGCAAAGGGGACTCAATTTTGTATATGCAGTGGGTGTGGTCTCCCAGGGGGCAGAAGGGCAGGGCCCAATAGGAAAAATAGAGGTAAAACCTTTAAAATCCTTCTTCGACCATCAAGATTAAGGGATTTTTTCCATATTTAGTCAGGAGCATCCTTGGACCAAGGGGTCTCAATTTTGTATAATTGGTGGGTATGACCCCCCCTAGGGGCATAGGGGTGGGGCTCTGTTTGAAGTTTGTTCTCGCTATATCCCAAGTACTGGATGGAACTTTCTGAAATTTCATATGTACTTACAGCACGTACCATGGAGTACTATATCTTTACTTCATACCAATTATTTTAAACATAATCAGGTGAGCGATACAGGCCCTCTGGGCCTCTTGTTTATCATTATTATAGTTGTACATTTTATTTCACAGGTAAGCTGGCGTGGAGAAGCAAAACAGAAGGAGGCTGGCTGTTGGCGTCCCTCTACAATGTCTTCAAACATTATATACGCAACAATGAAATCCTCGACCAAGACTTTCTTACCCTCCTTACTGAGGTATCACAGGATGTTTCCCTCAAAGAATCTGACACGTTCGATCCGAAAACCAAAGCAATGAAGATGGTCCCGACAATTTACCACCAGCTCACAAAGAATATTGTTATTTGTTCTATTAAGAAAACAGGACTATTACAAAAGCTTGTGGAGAAAGCCAAAAAACATATTCCAAAATGATTATCTGACATGAATTGCTCAAACATTGTCAGGTCCAACTGTTAATTCCTAATGAGCTTAACTCATTCACCCCTGAAATTTTATAATGAACTATTCCGTCCTTTGAATTGGAAGAGTTCAAATGTGTCTTCAGGGGTGAATAAGCTAATGACAAATTATGTAAAATTTCAATCTATGATGCTTTCAAAAATATTAAAATTCACAATGAAAAGTTGTGAAAGGATTCAGTATGCTCATCTAATGACATACAAATTTATTTTAACTCATTCACCTTGAAATTTCATAATGAACTTTTCCAACCTTTTAATTGGTGGAGTTAGTTTAAACTTTCTTTTATTCAATTATTTCAATTTTATACATATATATATAGAAAAAATAAGATTAACGACCGACTAAAAAACTAGCTGCTTTCACCCTTCACAGGGCTCTTCAGGTTTACCTTATTTTTTTTATATTTACTTCCTTCACATGGACATTTAATCCCTTTTTATCATGCAATATATATATATATATATAACATTTTGTAACAAAACACAAAATAGGAAATAGAAACAAGTGTCTTATACACTTATGTAATCTATCACCTGTGTTCAAATGTGTCTTCATGCAGGGGTGAATGAGTCAAGTAGATTTTAACCAGGAGTGAAATATAGACACATTTGTTTCTCTTAAAATACATTGTTTCGGTAAATGACTAGCAGAATATTAGAACCCAAGTGTTACTGTGTCGCACTATAAATATTACGACATTGATTTTAACATTCATTTTTCAGCATAAGTAGACCACATGTTATTTTTTTAACTATTACCAATAAGGCCAAAAAAATCATAAGTCTCATACTTGATTTTGTACTGATACACATGTTTTGCTATGTGTAAAATGAAATCTGTAAAAATAAGGGGTCACAGTGGCCAAGTGGTTCTGGTGCCTGACCATCTACGATCACTAGCCGTCCACCACTGGGTCACAGTGGCCGGGTGGTTCTGGTGCCTGACCATCTACGATCACTAGTCCTCTACCACTTGGTTATTCGAGGCCTATGTGGGACAGTGACCTGGTACTGGCGACAAGTCTCCACCGCCAAAACCTGGCACGTCCTTAAACGACCATAGTTGTTTATAGGACATAAAACATACACAAACCAAATCTCTAGATAACAGGAGCAATAGAGTATACATTGCTTTTGTTTTATTGTTATACAGTCTGGTGATATTATAACTGTGTGTTCTGTACCTATGATATTGTCACAGACTGGTAAACAATGTATCAGACATTTAATTTTACTGCTGTACCATCTTGTTTTTTAGAAATTTTTGTTTTAATAGGAACCTTTTTTTGATATGTTAATTAGTATGTTTATTTCTCTGATAGCTTATAGCTTTATTTATACATATACCTAGTTGAACGGTTATCCTAGTTTAACCTCTCGATTCAGCACTAGTGAATACAGAACTGTAGGAGTACTGTCCGTCGTCCATCTGTCCGTCATGTCATCCAGCGCAATATTTTACTTTTAAACAACTTCTTCTTAATAACCAAAAGGCCTAGGGTGATGATATTTGGCCAGAGGCAAACTTGGATAAAGGGCTACCAAGTTTGTTCACTTATATTCAAGGTCACAGGTGTCAATTGTCTTAAAAATTCTTAAAACAACTTCTTCTGAATAACCAAAATGCCAGGGATGTTTATATTTGGTCAGTAGCAGACTAGGATGAACGGCTACAACGTCTTTTATAAATGAATGACCTTGACTTTTACTTAAGGTCACAGGGGTCAAATATGTTTGAAACTTTTAAATGACTTCTGAATAACCAAAAGTCACAGGATGATGATATTTGGCCCATAAGTTGATTGGATGAAGCGCTATCAAGTTTGTTTAAATGAATGACCTTGACATGTATTCAAGGTCACAGGGATCAAATTTGTTCAAAATCTTTAAACAACTTCTTTTTGATAACCAAAAGTCGCAGGATGATGATATTTAGCCTGTAACATGATGGGATGAAGGGCTACCAAATGTGTTAAAGTGAATGACCTTAAATTATATTCAAGGTCACAGGGGTCAAATATGTTCAACTTCTTCTGAATAACCATGAGGCCTAGGATGTTGATATCTGGTCAGTAGCATGCTGGGATGAAGTGCTACCAAGTTTGTTAAAGTGAATGACCTTGACTTATATTCAAGGTCACAGGGATCAAATTTGTTCAACTTCTTCTGAATAACCATGAGGCCCAGGATGTTGATATTTAGCCAGCTGCATGCTTGGATGAAGAGCTATCAATCTTTTTCATTGAATGACCTTGATCCACTTACAATGTTACATTTGGTCAAATATGTCACAGGTCTGAAATGACTTAAAATCTTTTAACAGATTCTTTTGAATGACTTTTAATCATAAATACTGATATTTTGCCTGTAGCTTTATTTTAGATCACTTTTAAGGTTACAAGTATGAGATTTATACCAGGTGAGCGATGCAGGCCCATTGGGCCTCTTGTTTTTAAAATATGTTAATATCTTATCTCTATGACAGCATATTTAATTCTATGCTACTTTATAGCATGAATATGTTCGAATTGTGGGCCTGGCCTTAATGACCTGTATACATCAGTTACAAATGAACTAATAAAAATATGCTTTTTAATGTGGACAAATGCCTGCAGAATCGATGTCTCCTTTAGAGCCATGTACATGTAGTGCCACGGAGTTATGATTAATAGCTGCATGAATTAGAAGTTATGAAATAGATGAATACATTTTCTTCAAACATACATTTTACAATGTACGGTACAGTGATATTTAGTACTTAACTTAGGATCCCCTACCACTGCCAAAAATGGTATCTGTGTCACTGGCAACTGATTTTACCAGAATGATTCGCCACTTTACCAGAATGATTCGCCACTTTACCAGAATGATTCACAACTTTACCAGAATGGTGTGCCACTTTACCAGAATGATTCACAACTTTACCAGAATGATTAGCCACTTTACCAGAATGATTCGCCACTTTACCAGAATGATTCACAACTTTACCAGAATGATTCACAACTTTACCAGAATGTTTCACAACTTTACCAGAATGATTAGCCACTTTACCAGAATGATTAGCCACTTTACCAGAATGATTAGCCACAAAATTGGCTTCTGCTATATAAGTCGGTTGTATAGCTTTGATAAATAATTTCTGATAAAGAAAACCATACCCTGAGGCACTGTAATGAAATATAACAGTGTTCTGATTAAAAAGAAAATCAGCGCGTCTAGTCTGATTTTCAATTTCATTTTTTTTCCAAATATTTTATTGTTAATACAAACAGATAATTGTAAGTATTAAGAAGAAATATAACAGTGCATATATTAACAAGAGCACCGCAAACAGATGTATAATTTGCCTGTCTGACCCTATCCAATGATTTTTTGTTTGTAAAATTGAATCCATATTGTCCTTCTTAGACCCCACATGAACATCCACCAAACATTAGGACAATAACACATTATCTGACTGAACTGTACACCACTGAAGAAACTTGCACCAAAACTTTAACCCAGAAATTGCGCGAGAAAAGTTACGTCTCAAACACGTCCAAAATTTCCAAAAATAGAAATTATTTTCCCAAATTAAATCCATATTGTCCTTCTTAGACCCCACATGAACATCCATGCCAAAATTTAGGACAATAACACATGATCTGACTGAACTGTAGACCACTGAAGAAACTTGCACCTAAACTTTAACTGGACGGACGAATGCAAATGCTATACCATAATACACCCGTCAAATTTCGACGGGTGTATAGCAAAGGGATAAGACAACAGTCTAAGTACATATACCTAAGCCTTTTCCTAATCTAGACTGGGATTCGAACCCTGGACTTCAGAGTAATGTACTATCGCTCTAACATAATGAGCTATCTGGACAATGGAATTGTCCTGGCCCATTTGTGCTTCAGTTACAGTGACGGATCCAGAGACCTATCTGGGGGGGTTTCCAACTTTCCTGGGGGGGTTTCCATGTGGGGGGAAATTGAGGAAAATGGTGAAAATACATGATTTTTAAAGAAAATTCTCAGGGTGGGGGGGTTCCTGAAGCCCAAAAAACCCCTCTGGATCCGCCACTGAGTTACATCGAATTGGAAGTTATAAGAGGGTGGGGGTACTGTATACAGGTAAAACCACAGTGCAGTGAGACAGGGATCCTTAAGGAAGTTAAGGGGAGGTTACTGTATATAGGAAAACGCACAGTGCAGTGGGACAGGGATCCTTAAGGAAGTTAAGGGGAGGCTACTGTTTATAGGAAAACCACAGTGCACTGGGCAGGGATCCTTAAGGTGGCTCCACACATCCTCATCAGTGTCCATTTTCGTGACGTACTTCCGGAAAAAGTACTGCTCGGACTCAATTATCTTGATCGAAATGTGCATGTACACAGTGTCGTCATTTCCGTATTGCGTATCGGGCATTCAATATCGTAGTGCAAATTATAGTAACACCGGGTAAACAATGGTACACGTGCGTGCCGATGATATGTCAACACCCGAAATCGAGATTTTACCGGGAAATGTATAATCATACCAGAGACGTATATAACATGTGTTATATACGTCTCTGATCACACGTACTTCAGGAATAAAGCTTTCCAATTCATAGACATAAACAGACTCACGGAAAGACAGTGACATGAGACCAAACGACCTCAAGAAGGTCATATAGGAAACGCATGGAATGCGGACGTACCAACCTCACATGTGCATATCACGTGCTTACACGAGTTCATAAGCTCGAGGTCGTTACGATTTTCGCTGTTGAGGGAGTTTCGCTCTGTCGATTAAATCGTGTTTACAAATGTAGTCTACTTACTCTGGGAAAATAATGTTTTGTAAAATATCAAGATACCTATGAAATGCATGTGTGAGTGCACGTGAGAACGGCATACCATGCGATAGCCTCTGGGCACATATGTACCTGACATGTAATTATAAATATACCGTGAGTTAGCCGACTGTGGAATGATGTCCAAAGTGTACATGACTGAAGGTAATTTGGTTCCATTAAAGAACAATAAATGGATCATTTTGATTTCATATTTTTGATTTATTTCCATCATTTTTGTTTTATGTAAATAGA